CAAACCCTAGAGCAGCCACAAAAAAGTTTCCTTGGAAAAATATAACGAAAAAAATCACTAAAACATTTAAATGCCACATTATAAAATAATTGTTTTATGTGACAGAAAATAGTAAAATTTTACTTGTTGTTGTTATTGTTAAGTGCCATTGAGTTGTTCCGACTCATAGTGACCCTGTGTAGGGTTTCTGAGGAGTGACTGATGAGTTTGAACCATCCTGTGGTTCAAATTGACTTTGCAGTCCAGTGCATTATAACTCACAGTGCCACACCAGTGTACTAGTAGAACAAAAACAAACTTGAGATATAAAAGACAAAAAGAAAAATGGTAAATCTAAGGCTGACTCTAAAGATAATAATATTAAGTGTGAAATTTTAAACAATCTAAACAAAAGGCATAAATTACAAGGAAAACAGTAACAACCATGAGACACTTTAGATTCAAAGATAAAAACGGATTTAAAGTAAATGTGTGGTGAAGCCATATCAAGAGAATAGCAACCACAAGAAAACTGGAGTATTCTACTATCAGACTAAATAGACCTTAGTGATAAAAGGAAGTAAAGAGGGATATATTTTGTAATGATAAAAAGGTCAATCAGGAAGATGTAATAAATATAAACATACTTGCAACTAATAGCAGAACACAATTTTTATGAAGGAAAAACTGACATATATGAGGAAGAAATAGACAATTCTGCCTAAATAAAATAGAGAAAGAATAGTAAAGTAAGCCCGAAGTAATTAGAAAGAAGGAAATTATGAAAATAAAAAGAGATCAATGATAGTGAAAATTTACAAGCAATAGGGAAAACTGACATAGCCAAAAGTTGTTTAAAAAAAAAAAAAAATTCAAGACAATTGATAAAACAAAAATAAATGGACTAATGATGAAAAAAAGGGAGTAGAAATTACCAATTGCAGAATGACAGAGGGGAGGAGAAATCACTACAGTCCTATGAATATAAACCAAGTAATAATGCAACAAACAATTCATGACAATACGAATATATTTTACAGCTTCTTGTTGTTAAGTGCTGTCGAGTTGGTTCACACTCAAAGTAACCCTGTTTAGGATTTCCAAGGAGCAGCTGGTGAGTTTGAACTATCAACCTTTCAATTAGTCCATTGCTTATCCTGCAGCGCTACTTTGGGACAAACATATTCTTGTAAAATGTTATTTAGCAAATCCAATTCTTACTCTTATCCTTAAGTTCAAAATTCTAATTTACATTCTAGATAGCCCTATCAGGAGACTTAATCAATACTTTGAAATATTCATGTCCCAAACTGAATTAATGATATTTTCCCAAACAAATTGTCTTAGTTATCCAGTTATTCTGCTGTACAAAGGGTCGCTATGAATTGGTACCAACTTGATGGCACCTAACAACAACTCTAACAGAAATACCACAAATGGGTGGCTTTTACAAGCAGAAATTTATTTTCTCACAGTTTAAGAGACTAGAAATCTGAATTCACGTGGTCAATTCTAGATGAAGGCTTTCTCTCTTACTTTGGCTCTCGGGAAATGTCCTTGTTTTCTCAGCTTCCTTGGTGATCCTCAAGTGGTATGTCATCTGTCTTCCCCTAGCTCTGCTTCCTTGCTGGTTGCTTAATTTGCTCTTTTAAAAAAGAGAGTGACTTAAAAACACACTCTATACTAATACTTCCTCACTAAAATAATAACAAAAAAAAACCCGTTCCTAAATGGGAATATAACCATAGATGTACGGCTAATGATTAAGAAGATGGCACAGGACTCAGCAAATTTTATTCCGTTATATATAAGATTAGGAGTGTGTGGCACTGTAGGATAAACACTGGACTGCGGTTCATACCCACCGATATCTTCTTGGAAACTCTGTACAGGGTCACTATGAGTTGGAACTGACTCGATGGCATTTAATAATATATAACAATGCATAAGATTAACATGAGTTGAGGCTGCTCACAGAAAGTAACAACATTCTGAAACTGTCCTTAAAACTTCAACATATATGTCTCTTTATATAACATATATGTGTGTCTACAAACAGCTGTGTTTATAGAATAAATATGTATTGAAAATAGAAAAATTAATAAGCATAGCCTTTCAAAAAAGCACACCCATTTAATGAAAATGAGACAATTATAACCAAAAACATAGCTAGAGGGTTACATATGTTACAGAAGTGACTCTGTGTACAATTCCTTCTCTTTTTTTTTAATCCTTTATTCAAAATTTTAGCTATTCTAAATAATATAACCCTTCCTATGTAAGAAACTGTTTTACTTGGTGGCACCTAACAACAACAATATAGTTTAAAATTTTTAAATTATGAACTGTAGTATCTGTTTGTTGCCTAATGCTTTCTTTTAAATGAAGTTGGTGAAAATTCGTGATTTTAATAGTTTATTTTATGATATCAGCATATTAAAAGTGTCCTAGTGTGGCACTGTAGGATAAACACAAGGTCAGTGGTTCAAATCCACCAACCGCTCCTTGGAAACCCTACACAGGGTCATGATGAGTTGGAACCTACTTGACAGCACTCAACAATAGTTTGTATTATATACTGGCAAAAGAACCATTAGATCTGTTTTGGAAGAAGTGCAGCCAGAGTGCTCCTTGGAGGCCAGGATGGCTAAGCTTCGTCTCTCCTACTTTGGACATATTGTCCGGAGGAAAAAACCATTGGAGAAGGATGTCATGCTGGGTAGGGTGGAGGGTCAGAGAAAAAGAGGCAGACCCCCAACGAGATGGATCAGCCAGGTGGCATCATTGATGGACTCAAGTGTGGCAGCGGTAGTGAGGTTGGCCCAGGATCGGACATTGTTTCGTTCTGCTGTGCATGGGGTTGCTATGAGTCGGTTCCGACTTGATGGCACCTGACAACAGCAACAACACATATTGGCATTGAATACTGATTTTCACAGTAACATGTTTTATTATGCAAAAAAGTACATGTGTGCTATCTTCATTCTAAAGTTTGCTGATTTTACCTTTAAACTTAATAATTATAATAATACTTTTACATAATATTAGATACCTATATAAAAAATATAAAGCAATAAAAGATAATTTTGTAACTTCATTTTGTAGCAGTCAATTGTTGTTGTTAAGTGCCATCAATTGGTTATGACTTATGGTAACCCTATGTAGAGTTTCTGACGGTGTAAATCTTTATGTAAACAGAAAGCCTCATCTTTTTCCCATAGAATGGCTGGTGGACTTGAACTGCTGACCTTGTGGTTAGCAGTCCAGTGATTACCCTACAGCACTGCCAGTACGCCCAGTCAGTTCTTGTTGTTGTTGTTGTTAAGTGCCCTTGAGTTGGTTCTAACCCATAACAACCCTGTATAGGGTTTCCAAGAGCGGCCAGTGAGCTTGAACCACCAACCTTGCTCCTAAAATGATTTGTAAATTCAACAGAATGTTAAGATGCATAGAAGTGCATTCATTCAATCATGACAACTATATAATTACATTACTAGTACTTTTGATTTACCTTCATTTAGGCCTTTAAAAAAAAAAATCTCATGGATGAGCAGAATTTAAATCAGATTTGATATAGAGTCCTTTTCTTTCCTTAGGAAAAAGTCAAAGAGAAGGAAGAAAATCTGAATCTTGTAAACCAATCCTTAAAGTAGAATACAAGACCTGTAGAAACAGGTAAGTATTTTCACTTTGGGGAATATAGAAATAGTGTGTAAGAAAAAAAGGAGGAAAGTTAGATAGCTGTTAATGTTCATGTATTACTTAATTTTTTATGAAATTATAACTATTTTGACTGACTGAATCATCTACATTAAAAATAACTAATTTCCTATTTTTAATAGGTCTTGCCATGTTAATGATTATTATGAATATTGCAAGTAACAACTGTTCATTATTCTAAAATGCCTAAGAGTATTCAGATGAGTAGAATTTATGTTAATTCTAACAATTATAGAACTTTTGGCCATGCACATTAGAAATATCAATCAATCAGCAGGTATTTATTAAGCAAAAACTATGGGCCTACTGATATTGTACATGAAAGAATTAAATATGTAACCAAGTCTCTGAACCTTTGGAGCTTACATTCTGAAATTGGAAAGATTACAGTTAGTTGGAAAGTGAAAGAGTTATGCATATTTGCATGGTGGTGGTGGTTGTGTGCTGTGGAGTGGTTCCGACTCATAGTGATCCCCCATAGGGTTTCTGCGGCTGTAAATCTTTACTGGAACAGAAAGCCTCATCTTTCTCCCACAGAACAGCTGGTAGTTTCGAACTGCTGACCTTGAGGTTCGCAGCCCAACTCGTAACCACTATGCTACCAGAGCTCCTTATATTTACATAGTAAGAGTGCTAAATTTTATTATATGAAAATTTAAATAAGAAATAAAATTTTGTGTTTTATATAGTAGTCCTGGTGTGGAACTGTGGGTTAATGTGCCAGACTTGCAAAGCCATTTGAACTGCAAGATAGCTAGTTCAAGCTCACCAGCTGCTCCTTGGAAACCCTATACAGTGTCATTATGAGTTGGAACAGACTCGATGGCACTTAACAACAACAATATAGTAGCCATATCCTGTATATCAACAATGTTTCTTTTATTTATAATAATTATTGGTAACAATATGCTGATCTAAAATTATGTAACAAACATTGTGTAAATCTTAACTTTATTTCAGCTATAAACTAGATAATTCTATTTTAGGTTAATTATATACTCACAAAAGAATATTTTCCTAGAGGCCAAAGTGCTTTTAATGTTAGTTTATAGCAGATTTTCTATACTTTTAATCGTATAAAATTATCATTTTCTTCCAGTTTATATATAACAACACCTCTTTAGCTCAATCTGATGGTACCATAAACTGATATAAGTGTCCACAGTTCTATATTTTAATATAGTTGAAATATTGAAGCTTTCAAATATAATCATTCTAGAAGAAAATACAAACTATGTTACATGTATTTGTCTTTCTTAAAACAGTATTTATAATTTGAACATTCCTGAGATGTCAGGCTCTTTATTATATGCATCAGTTTTACTTTGATGTGTTCCAAGGACTAGTGAGACACGGAGCCACTATATTAACTATTCTGATCAACTTGTGGTCTGTTTTCTGGTTTTTCACTTGTGCATTTCTTTACAAAAGTTTTTCTCTCTTCTTTATTTTTTAGTTATTAATAATTCTTACTGTTTTTACTGTGCAATCTATATTAGCCAGTATTTTGTTTTCTATAGACTAAGAAAATGGAAGCCAAATTAGTTTGTATGAAGGCCTGGGAGGATTTTCATGATAAAGTACATAGCTATGGAATTTCTGACATCTTTTTTGTTGCTCAAAAGCTTTCTGAATAAGCATTTCCATGAGGGTCCTTAGCAACATTCAATTTAGTTAAGTCAAAATATTATTAACTTGGGGCTACAATGTACCTAGTGAAGGAGGTTTCTTGCGGAGCCTCTGCATCACATAAGACCATAGCTGGAATCCTGAACCACATCCAGAATCTTCAGAGGTGGGAAATTTCCACTTGAAAGGATGAGCAGACCAGCCTGGAGTGGCTAGAAGAACAGAAGATACTTCTTGAAAGAAAGACCTACAGGAAAAATACAAAACAATATAGGCAGACTGACTGTTACTACAAGAACAAGCAAGTTGCTTGCCCAGGAGGCATCAAGGCAAGTGGTCGTGTCTCCTCAGAGCTAACCCCCTTCCAAGACTAAGACTCAATGGGAATACACGCTCTGATTGGTGACCATGTTCATCACCGATAAGGGAAAGTGAGGGAAAAGCAGCAATGAAGCTGTGAGCTAAGTCCTACAACGTACAATAGATTCCTGTGAACCCAGCCAGGTGGAGACCTGGTTGGCCAGCAGTGTGGCAAGACCTGGGGACTCTTTGGCCCAGAGTCAGTGACATAGCCACAGAGGACTAGAGTGGAGAGTGAAGCGTCCAGCTGGTAAGAAGAGAGGGCATATGCACAAGAACACCCACACTTGCAGATAATACCCACTTGACCTGGCTTTAATGACTGGATGATCAAAGCTCAACTAGAAGAAAGAAGAGGAAAAAAGAGTAATCTGATACAATTTGATGAACTTGACCTACACCTATGGATGCAGTAGCTCAAAAGAGGAAACAAATCTTCATAGCCAGGATCATTCCCACCCCCTCCACACATGGAGAGGACAGGGATGGACAACTTGGACATTGGCTACCCAAAATGGGGGGCTACAAAGGCAAGAAGTGACTGGCTTACAAGCTTTCAAGAGGGAACCTAGATCCAGAGGGTGTGGAGGAAGGTAGAATCTCCACTGAGTAGTATCCAATCTGTCTAGGCGGGGCTGATGACATGAATGTGGATAGGTCTCTTATGATACAATAGTGAATAATTGTTATCAGGACTGATTGTGAGGGTTGGAAATGTAAAGGTAGACATTTTGTAGCAAGGAGGGGAGTGATTAACTTTGCAGTCTAAGAGCAGAGGTCCCTGGGAGCATCAAGGGAGAAGAGCAGAGAGCAGGATCCTACCCATAGAAGCAGTGATGCCTGAGATGGAGGCAGAGATGACGTGGAGAGATGGAGCAGCTGGGGACTTTAGAGAGGGAAAGGGGCTGTGTACTGACAACCGAGTGGCAGGCTTGTAGTGTATACCTTTTGGTTGGGTGATGATGTATGGAGGGGATTGTAACCATGGCAATGAAATGATATACGATAGGATGAATGTAAAACTAATGTTCTCCCATGTATACTGTCACATAATTCACAATAAACATTAAAAAACAACAACAAATATAACATTATTAACTTATTCCTATACACCAGGCACTGTACTTAGTATGTTAAACTGGAAAAGATTAGTGACTGCTTTTGAACTTACTTCTCAAAAAAGTAGCAGAAGCAAGATGTAAACTAGTGGTCCCTGTATATGTAAGGTGTCATGTGTGAATAGCATTTCCAAGTGTCAGTATATCCAGCTATTGTTGTTGTTAAGTGCTGTCGAGTTGTTCCCGACCCATAATGACCCTGAGCAGGGTTTCTGAGACTGTAAATCCTTACGGGAGCAGAAAGCCTCATCTTTCTCCCGTGGAGCAGCTGGTAGGTTCGAACTACTGACCTTGCGGTTTGCAGCCCAATTCGTAACCACTATGCTACCAGAGCTCCTTATATCCAGCTATAGGTAAGGATAATAATAGCACAAGAATTTTTAAAACAGTACACCTAAAGTGCTTCACAATTTGCCTGTCACATCCTAAATAATCCGTTTGCATTAAATATTATTTTGCTGTATTATATAATTTATTGTTTAATCTTGTTGCATTTATGAGATAAAAATTTTATGCTGTTTGTTCTCTTTTATTTTGGCGCCTTTTTCCCCCTTAAAGTACTATGAATTTTAACACAGTTAGAGATTTCTGTAACCATCATTGCAATCAAAATATAGAATATTTCTATGAGCTCATAAAGTTCTTCTTGCTATCTCCTTATAGTGATACTTTTTCTCCATGCATGACCCTTGGAAACCACTCATCTATTTTCCATCACTGTGGTTTTACCTTTTGAGAATGTCATATAAATGTAATCATATAGTATATAATATTTTGAGAATAGCTTTTTTCACTCAACATAATGTCTTTGAAATTCATTCAAGTTGTTGTGTGTTGATATTTTGTTCCTTTTTATTACTATTTTATTTATGTGTGAGGACATTGCCTGTGATATGGTTATTTTTTTCTTCTATTAGAATCCATCTGATAAGTATCTCTTAATAGATACATTTGTATTTAGTAAAGCAGACATTTTAGTGTGTTATAGCATTTACCAAATTGCCTTTCTTTAATCACTAATGGTATTCATGGGGGAGGGAGAGGCAACCTGTAGTCAAACAAAGTTTTGAAAAAATTAAGATTGTGCATTAGAAGATATACCAGATTAAAATTAAAATTAAAAGATTGTGCATTAGAAGATATATTAGAAGACTGGTTTCTTTATTGTAAGATTTATCAGAATCTTTAATAATATGGCATGAATATAAAATTCATAAGGGAACTATGATTGCAAATGCTTGTGAAGTTATTAAACATTTTAAAAGAAACTGTTCTGCAAAAGAAAGTTAGACTTCATAGTTTGTGAAGCATTAGACTAGAAGGAAAAAAAATGGGGGCTTTAGAGACTAGGTTTGAATCTATTTGACCCTGAACAACTTGCTTAACCTGCATGAATCCTTTATGCGGGAGTTCCTACTCCCCACGAGGGTCGTGGGACACGAGCAAATACGCGGAATTGTCGGGTGAAGAAATGAATGAATACAATTGAAAGGCTTTTCAACTTGTTGTGCTGTCTGGCTATTCTCTCCAGCTTCTGCCCCTGCTTGTGCTTTCTGCTCTCTGCTGTCTGCCCTCTGCTCTTTGCTGTCCCCTCTGCTGTCTGCCCTCTGCCTTCTCTCTCCTCTCTGCTTCTTCTGCCGCTTCTACGTCTTTCTGCCTCTTCTGCCTCTACTCCCTTCTGCCTCTACTGCCTCTGCCCTCTACTTCTTTCTCCTAGCTCTGCCAGTTCCTCCTGCTAGCCCAGCTCAGCAAGTCTTTATTTTTTATACTTAAAATTACACAGTACATGCATTGACACTTTTATCATTTTTTGAATTATTACAGTTAGTCACAACATTCTTGCACCTG